GGGATTGATTCAATTCGAAGGTGGTTGCGAGTTCATGGATACACTGGTTCCCACTGTCGTAATGTGTACCTTATAGCAATGACCGTTGAATTTGAGCATTACTCATGGTCTTATTCTTTGGGTCTGTTTGAGCAAAAATATGTGACTTCATACATGCCTATAGTTAACCTTTGCAAGAAAAGCTAATGCGGGCATCGAAGGCAATTGTTATTTTATTCAACTATGATTTACTTGTCAATATACAAAGCACACAATGTACTGAACATTTTTACCAGATATGACAGTGATGAGAAATAAACATGCCTGTAATTCAAGAAAATGATTTAATTACTCCTGCATTGTGTCCCTGATTCATAAGTCCACATTTCCATGTTCTGTTGGTATTAAAGCATAGATCAAAGCATTTCATAAACTCTGAACACCCTTTAACACAACAGCCACAAGACTTCCTATGGAACAACTGAAAGTGCTAAGACTCCACTCCCGATAAGCAAAAGTGGCTCATTGTGCATGCATGCTACGTAAGGTTTCAAAGACATGGGCTGGAACAAATTACATCCAATACCAATATTTTCTCAAGATGGCTTTAGAGCAGTCGAATGTTAAAGCCCATAAAACTCGCAAAAACACATTTTCATGTCCCCATTAAAAGTTTCATGTTCCAGACCACTATAACCAAATCTCCTTTGGACTTTACAGTCGGCCAACCACTTACAATTATTCCCTTTTAATGCGAGGCAGCCTGCGTTGCATGTTAAGGCATAGGACTCGACTTGAATCGTAACAGACAGGACAAAGTCGCTATGGATTTGCCAACGAATACGATTTCAAGTGTGGGTTTCCCAAGTGGGACTTACGTGTCGAGCAATTTCTTCTCCCAAGCTTTTGCGCCACCCCGCCACTGGATTGATCACCCATGGCTGTGAAGGCGTGAACGCGTTAGATTGACACGCACTCAAGTTTGCAGTCGTGTGCAGGCGCCGAACGAACGTCGTCTGCGAATGGCTTCTCTGCACGTTCACGGCATGCGGTCACAAAGCACAGCACGCTTCCTTTAGAGCGGTGGGAGTCACGATAAACAGGCGAGCTTACATGGCGAAGTGTTGTTCAAATGCTACCTTAACTACCTGTTCAGACAAATAATCTCGAAAAAAGCATACTATGGACCGGTCTCTCCCTCAAGACTGCATCCAAGTTAAAGTTATGCTTTTACATCAAGTGGATGATACCTAAAGGGGGGGGGGAGGGGGGGAGACGTAAATAACACAAGCACAACTTTTATTTTAAACAAATGGGGGAAATTAGAAAGCATGTTATGAATGCAGTCCTATAACTCATGTTAGGATTGATTTAAAACAGCAGTTGTTTACAGAAAAAACACTTTTAGTATTTCATTTTGCTCCGCCAACTCCAATCAGTCTCGCAAAATACGATACAAATCACATTACAAGCCGCTGGAGTCAACGTCTCTCTTCATGAAGGCCTCTGTAATGGCCGAAACATAAAAGGCACGTAAATCGTTTACCAGCTAAATCTACAATCTCATCCAATGTTTTTGGCCTAACTTCCACCGTTTTGTATTAACATGTAGGTTCACCTTCATGTTATCGATTTCCATGCATTACTCCAAAGTGTGCGAGGCATTTTAAAATCAGGCCAGGTTGAATGGCAGTAGTGGAACAAAACCAATAAGGACACAGATTTGCTTGCTTAAAACGTGCCAAAAATTGCAATGCTGTACATTTAACTTAAGTTGTAAATCACATACACCAGGTTTTAAAATAATGGATCTAAAAAAAACATCTTCAGTGCAGGATTAAAACCAATATGCTTTTATAGAACTACCAAAATATATAATTAAATGAAAAGTATTATGTACAAGGAAGGCAACGCGTGTTATTTATAACAGCACGATAGTGCACCGATGATAAAACAATAAGTTGCGATGAGACAAACAGCAGAACTGCAATTTCTGATAATTGGGTTTTTATCCTTTTATCTGGCAACTAAACGGACACCTTTTTTACAAGGAGTCATGTTTGCATTGACCACAATACCTGCAGTCGGAATGCAAACAAAAAACACAACTCTGATAATGTATTCACTGTCCTTGAAATTGATTGGTCCACACCCGAAACAGCTTTTCTTAAGAGCCTAGTCTCACATGGTGTTGGACCAGATGACGCCAAAAGGCCAAAAGGCATCATCATCTGGTCCAACACCATGTGAGACTAGGCTCTAAGGAAAGCTGTCTCGGGTGTGGACCAATCAATTTCAAGGACAGTGAATACATTATCAGAGTTGTGTTTTTTGTTTGCATTCCGACCGCAGGTATTGTGGTCAATGGAAACATGACTCCTTGTAAAAAAAGGTGTCAGTTTTGTTGCCAGATAAAAGGGTAAAAACCAATTATCTTATTTTGCTACTGGCAGAGGAGGTTCCAATTGTGTTAACTGCAATTTCGTTATAAAGTATTTAAAATTCCAAACTTTTCCAGTTCTTTTTAATAAAAAAAACTTTCCACTAATTAAAAAAATAAAACCCACAAAATGGCCACAGATAGTGAAAATGTGTCAACATTGATGACTGTACCACAAATCACTCAACTGCTCACATCTGGAAGTTTAAAACACTGGCGAAACACAAGGTCCAGGTTTGAGGCTCAGAATCTTAAAAATTGCTTTTAGGAGACTAGTTTCTACCTAATTTTAAAGTAACAAAAACATAAATTTGCAGCACTCATCTCCTGCTTACAGCCCGTGGTGGATATTCTGCATTTCTATGGCAGGGGAAATTCTGTGAAGAGGACTTTCCACAAAGTGGTTCCGATTGTGAGCCACATATCACTGCGCACCGTTATAGCGTTCACCGAATTTAGTGGGCGACGTATTTTTATTAAGGACACATTGTAAAGGTGTGAATCGGCTTTACAAAAAAATGCCAACGTTTAATCCTGCGACAACCACTTTAATTTTATCGCAGATGTTAACAGAGGCCCATTGTGTGCCATGCAATAATAGCACCAGCAACAGACTTGGTGAGTTAGCGAGCATTTCTCCAGCCAAGTATCACTATCATGAGTTTAAAAATGACAGTTGAGAGTTTAGCTCACAACCTATTATCACTTCAGGGTTGATAAAAAAAAATCATACCTGTCAACCCACACAGTTTACCCGTATTCTTGTACAGGGAAATGGAGTTCAGGTGCTTACGGCGTACAGCCGTTTCAATACGGGCAAACTAAATTCGATGTGTTTGTGTATCTCCCTTATGATGGGACTTTGTTGGATTAACGTTGAGATTCATACGGGCACGGTGTGACCAATAAGGTCTGAATTGGTCTGTAGTAAGGCAGGCACTGATAAGGGGTTGACAGGTTTGTAAAATAACTGGTTTGTGGGACGCTGACAGTCTTCTTAAGTAAACACCGAGGAATGTGGAATTTCAACCACGTGACACCGGGCAGCCAAATGAGAAGAATCTTGCCCTGGTGGACCCATTTGCGTGCTTGCGTAGAAATCGGAGTAATGTAGCATGAAAACTGGCCTCGAAAGAAATAAATTAAACAGCCGCAAGAAGTTTTGCAACCATTGGTACGCTCGACTGCCTGCAATGCTTCGATGATATCGTCTAGCACTACATTCGAGTACCATGCAACAGTGACGAAATATCAACCGTGTACGATTGATTCAGGTTTTAGCACGAGTCTTGCCATATATGCCCACGTCTCTGAGAGGAGAAACCAGTTTCACTTCCCGTAACAATTTTTTTTCAATGCGCTAAAAATGCCCCCCCCCCCCCCCATGCTTATACAGCATCGAGAATAAAAATGTACGTTGCAACTCGTGGTCTGTCGATTTCTTTTGTGTTTTAGTTTGCCAACGTGTACACGTTCAGCATTTTCACACGCCACGTGCATGCGATTATCAGCGCTTTTCCTGTTGTTTAGAATCTTACAGCCGTGTTTTTAAGTTGATGGCTTATTTAATCGGCATGCTCCGAATTCTTTAGATTTTTTTGCAAGAGTGTTGAACACCACTGACCATCATCGCCAACCACCACAGCCCACAATTAAGACACATGGCGATAGTATTTACACTCGCATTGTGTATACGGAACTTAGTGCCTTAAAAACACCAGTCAGCCATGCAGCGGAATTCCTAAAAACTAATGTCAAAACAAAGTAAAGCAAAGGATTTCACAAAATGGGATTTTTTTTAAACATAGTATTCTTTACTTACGGGACGGTGCTTGAAAAACCTGGCTGGTTAGTGCTGCATGGCTGCGATTACAGTTCCCATTCAACAAAAATAATTTGCGAATACAAATTCTGGTGGGGGGGGGGGGTCAACTAGGCTCAATACCCACCCCTCAGAGGTCGAACAAATGTTGAATCTGGGCTGGATTTCCCAGCTCCACCCTCATTGTACGTGATAGAGTTGAAGAGAAAAGCAGTCCGGGTTTATGATTGATTCCAGAACTTGCTGGTACAGTTCAGCCCACTCAATAAGTTCTCAATAGGTGGCCTCCTTAACAGTCTATTATCACTATTACCATGGTTACAGTTCCTGTGATCTTCACTCATTAAATTTCACCACTCAATATGCTCCACAGATGCTTGTGGGAGCTTCAATTCAATTCCGTTCCTGAAGAAGTTCCTCGTACTTGGAGAGACACGTCGGACATCGTGACGAGCAACAACACGGCACAACATGAATAAACATCGGAGAGCTGGTGAAAAAATGCACTCAAGTCTTCCCCCAACTGGGTTTTTGAAAGTTAAACTTTTAGATTTTCAGTCTAAAACTCGATGCAGTCTTGCCCATATGTACGATTTGAAGGGATAATTCATTATCCTCAGGTGTGATAGCTCACAAGAATTTCGATTTAAAGCTTTCGTGACTGCAGGGATTCATCTTCTTGGTTCTTTCGGTAAAGTCACGTAGAAGGGAAGTTTTATTTTTATTATTTTATTACTTCCCTTCTACGTGACTTTACCGAAAGAACCAAGAAGAAGCTCACAAGAAGTCAAAGGATTTGAGGACCTTTGTGTTTGCCTATACATCAGCAGAGGGCAGCAAAAGACAATTATGCTCAGTATAGCTCAGCATGTAAGTATAACAGTCTTCATACCAGAACAGTGGAAGGAGTAGCCTCCCTCTATCCAGAGACTTCAAGTGAACTTCCCCACGATGCCTTTCAACAAACTGCAAGATCCCCACACTGTATCCTACCACAAGAGAACCTACGATGATCATCCGGCATGGATACTCTGCACGATAGTGGCGGCGGGTCATCAGAGGTACCAGTGGATGAATAAAACGTAGGGCCACTATCATTGTAGCGCAGCGCATACTACGGCAGCCCGAAAATACATCAGAACAACACGCCATGAATATTCGCGACTGTACAACAGCGAGGCAAAACTTCGGGCATGACACACACACAAACACACCTCTGTAACCCAGAACTTCGTAGAGGTGGGGTTGTTGGGACTATGTAGAAATCATCACACGACCGTCAGCTGATCAGGATATTGCAATACCACAAAGCGAGTTTGTAGTTTCTTAAAAGTGTGCATTTTTTTACCTTTAAGCATGCACTAAAAAAGTAAATGGCCAAACATATGAAGGCATGACACTTTTTTAAAGTCCTGAGATTCATTGATAATTCCCAAATAAATCAATGTATCTTACTTCTAAATAAAACTGGCCATGTTGTGGTTGCTCATCTCCGTTTCAGTCACGAGCCAGTTTTCTGAGCCCAGTGGTGCAAAGTCGATTCCCATGCCCGGTGTGCGTTTTAATCTGACAAGATGACCACCATCAAATTCCTAATGAGCAAGCCAAACTGGTAAAAAAAAAAGAAATCAGTCGAGTCGACACCGAATCATATTTTCTCAAACTCGTGACTCTTCCAACTTGCGAACCTGACCACAGCCGCCAACACCCCAGGCTGTTTTCCTATAAATAAAGGTCGTTTGCCGCCATCGATAAACAACCATTTACGGGCGGCGCCATTTCCCTACAAGAATCCGTCAGCGCTGCCCACGTTGTTGGTCATGTCCATGGTCACCGTCTCAAGCAGCCGGTTGAGCTCGGCGCTGTCGAGCCGCTCCAGGCTCTCCATGCGCATATCGTCGGGAAACGACAAGTAGCCGAGTCCCAGGCCGGAGACAGTTTGCCCTGCCGGGTAGGCGGCTCCCGGCGCCTGCAGGGACTGATCGGGCGCAGGCGATTGCGAATGTAATTGCGACTGCGCGTTCACTGCACCGCCGGACCAAGCCGGCATTTCCCGCCCGTCGGGCGCATTCGTCGCAAAGTTCGCCTGGGCGGCACCGGTTGCCGCGGCCGTTTCCGGGGCAGTGGCGCCATCGTGCTGATGACGCATGGAGTCTCGGATGATGTTGAGCACGTCGGAGATTTGCTGCTGCGACAGCTGGCTCACCGACGTCGTCTGGTCTGGGTCGGGTGTGCCGGTGGCGGTTGTGGCGGCGGCGGCGGTCGTGGCGGAGGCGGCGGCGCTGGTGAGCGGCACGTGCTGCGTGGGCAGCGTTGGCGAGGCCGGTGTGGCGAATATCACCAAGTCTTCATTGGGCACGAACGGGTACATGTCGTTGCCGAGGAATTCAAACTCGCTGAAGCTCATGGCCGTCAGGCTGTCGATGCCGCCCCCTGTCGCGGCAGGCATGTCGAATGACGTCAGGGGAGTGTGGTTCTCGGCAGCCCTCGATTGCGCCGCTGCCGACGCTGCCGCCGACGGCCGAACAGGGTTCAGCTCGGTGACGTTGAGGCCCTGCATGTCACTGGCGAGCGCGCTCTGCGAGTATTGGCCGCCGCCTGCGCCAAGCACGAGCACGGAGCCGACGCTGGGGCTGGCGCTCACAGTTACAGAGCTGTGGTGTGCCGTGTGACCGGGCGACGGCGCCTTTGATGTTGCCGCGGGCAGCAACAGCGACAACGACGACGAAGGCATAGTGGGATGGACGGATGACGCGACGGTGACGCCGCTCAGGGAGGGCTGTGCGTCGTAGCCGGCGGACGCTGGCGGCGTGCGTGGGGAGGAGACGAAGCCAGCACCCCGCATGAAGGAGGCTTCTTGGGCTGAGACAACAGAGTTCCAGGATACGCCGATTTGTAAGATCACACTTTCACTTTGATAAGCGTCTCCTCAATCACATAGGCACTGGGGCAGCACTCGGTGGCAACGGAGGCCCTGAACCGGTGGTGAAAACTCTGCAAGATGACTGCTGCGGACTTTAGAGAAAGCGGAAATAATGTTAATTTATTAACAAACATTATTCACCCAGGCGGGACGGTGGTCCTTTTTAAACCCTAAATTAACTGCGCTCTGCCCAGTGGCAGCCGACTTGAGTAACTAGGCCTGAATGCAAGGGTAATTCCACGGTTTTGGGCGTGGGTATTAATTAGTACGATTACAAAGTAGTTTTTATCCTTGAGCAGACTAATTTTTTATTAATTAATTTTCAAATAATTTATCCGCCATTCTTGATAAGCGCTCATAAAATACGATGGCGTCCGACATACTTAGTGACTTATTAATCCACACTGGGATGGTAATGGTGCATTTTAATTTATGTATTAAACCATTCAAGTATTTCATATAGAAGGCATATTTTCTAAAACTAGACAATTACCTTCAAAATTAACCTGCAGAACTATAATTTGTGTGGTCAATTGTTTGCTGAAAAAGTTGCCTAATTTGAAATAACAGCTAATTACTTTTTTTCATGTACTTTCAGTAAAATTATGCCAATGTATCCATTACCAATCTAGTGGTAAACAAAAAAAAATCGGTGCATTATGAGCATTTCATCAAGACGTGAAAAATGTCCCTTAATCTTCAAGGCTTCCAAAATCCAAAAGAAATTTCCTTACAGCTCAGTAAGATTTGGAATGCTACCACAAGCACAACTAGAAGCTGCACTTATCTAAGTTACACATCATCTACAGCCAGTGACAATTTCAACCGATTGTTAAACGGCAGTCCACAGGTTTCAAGCGACTCATACAGCCCATAGAGATACAAAGGCTGTTAGAACAAGTAACGTTAGCAAGCAAAGTTCAAGGTCGATACGGCACGCAAGAGGGTGTGTGCGGGTGGTGTGGCCAGCTTTGTACTCTGCCACCTTCATCTCCCCAGTGCTGATATTTACACATAACACACCAGGTACTTATTAGTTCACATTTTTGCCGCTGATATCATTCACGTTCTTGTGATCGTAGCGCGGCGCACTAACTACTCCTCCCCACACTTCTTAGATATATAAAGTTTTCCCGTATAGCCTTTAATAGAATGTTGGCGAGAGTGCTGTTAGCGAGCACCTATTTAGGACGGCACGGCACACAATGGGGCGAGTAGTTAGCACCATGCCAGGCTGCGTTTGTCTCCCCAGTGCTGATATTTACACGTCACACCAGCTGAGACGACCTAGGGGAGACCCAGGACTGGGTTCAGATAATCATCACTGGTGTTGGCTGTGAACGGGAATCGAATTCGGGTGAACGAGTTTGTCGCGCAGCGCACGAACCACTACACTGCCACTCCAGTGATGGTCATCTTCTGTGGGGGTGTAAGCCATGAACATTCTTCAACTCCTATTGATGAGGAGGCGAGGAATGGCACAAAGATCCCTCGTATAGCCTTAAAAGATGGTTGGGGCAAATGCTGTTAGCGAGCAACTATGAAGGCCAGTACAGCACACGGGGGGGATGGGTGGCCAACACCAAGCCTGGCCGCCTTTGTCTGCCGAGTGACAATGTTTACACATTTACCAGGTAATTGCACAGATACATATACACGCGCACACAAACCCGACAGCCTAGCGCTCCCTTCACACTGCGGTGTTGGTGGTAGTGGAAGAACTTTGTGTCAAGCCGTACTTTTATCTTGAATCTTCTGGCGGAGAAGATCCTTGGATTTCTGCGAACTGGTCGTGCTCACGGCCACCTTCCTCTCCGCAATATTCCCAGACGGAGTCCCGAGCCCGGTGATGTTGGTGCTTTCCAGGAATTTGTCAAACGAATCGGCCTTTCGCTTGCGCTTCTCCTGCAGCTTGTGGGGATCTGACAAGAAATGTGATAACGAAAACATGACGTGATACACACAAGTCAGAGGCAGCCAGCTCAGTAAAAGTGGCTTATACTCATTGCCCGAGCACTGAGTCAGCACCGCTGAGATACTTGAGTTTGAATCCATGTTTCAGCCATGTGTGAATGGGGTTAAAGGCCTCAGTTGGAGCACAAATGCATGCAACCAAAAATCTACGGATTCACATTTGGGTTTTAACTTACATTGCCACACATCTCTTGTGAGGACTACAAATATATGATACATTGCCTTGCAATGGAACATATAAAAAGGTCAGTTTAACACGTAGGCTTTCGCGACCAATGTCATCCATAATAGAGTTATTTTTGGTTAGATCGCGTAAATATATAAATGTGTCGTTTAAACTCGCCACCACCCGACACAGCCAACTTGTAAGGGTTGTCACGTAAACATAACGTTGCCAATTCGTCACTAGTACAGCACACCGGTGTGTTGGAGAGCCAAGATTGTAAATGTTGCGACACAAAAGATACTAATTTTAAGGCTTAATCGACCGGGGTGATGCAAGGAAAAGTTTAGATGATCACCACTGATGTGAGCCATGACCGGAAATAAAACCTAAGCACACTGCGTGAAACACCACTCCCCACGTGCACATACACACAAGCACACACACAAATCCTCCCGTTGCGTCTATTCCCAAGTCCCCGTAAACTTTGCTCATGTCAAGAAACGTATATCGACTCTCCTCTATTACACCTTGAATAGCGATGCATGTTGCTGGCCGCTTGGTGATTCTGGGCCTGTGCTCACCAACCACAATGTTTGTCCATCCCCCGCACTTCCGATTAGTACCGTTGTCTACGTATGGTGCCTAAGAAATTCAACATGAAGTAGATCATCAATTATCCGGTGGCTTCGGGGGGGGAGGGGCGCCGGATTTTCAAAAACAGCGGATAATCACGAATCATTATTTAAAATAGCTTATTTTTGCACATTCTTGTACGACGTGTTTTAGGTGTTATGTTTTTTGTGTTTTAAATGTGTTTACTACATGTAAATCGGCATAAACATACAATGACAGAATTCATATCCTACTTTAAAAAGTTACTGTATTTACTATACCGTACTTACCACTCCAATCTTGAAGACTACTCTGCATGGGATGTACATGCGTGCAGTATTGTCATTGTTGAAGTTGTATGTAGTGTATAATGTACTGTATCAAATATTTAACACCGAAGTATGGCTACTTTTTTTTGTCACACACATGATGCCGATCGCCGGTCTGGTTACAGCCTTTGAAGCGGTTTTGCAGGTTTCACCAGGACCACCGGATAATGTTGGAAGAAGCCCAATAATCGATGATCTTGCATATGACCATGAAAAGAAAAAAAACACGCCATCCCAAAATGCGTCCGATCGACAGGACGCACCGGGGTCGACTGGGATGTAGCGGAACTCGATCGGCTCGCTGGCTTCTCCATCCGACGGCCGTCGCAGCTGCATGCGCACGTTGGCGGGACGCGTGATGCCCGGATCGCGGTACGCCGGTGTGCGGAACACGATGGCAACCTGCCGGTGGACATCGGCCTGCGAGAAGCTGCCGCGTGACTCCCAGCTGCCATCCGGCTCAAAGAAGCGCACCTCAATGTCTTCTGCTCATTGCACGCGGAAACGCACAAACAACAAAAAGGGTCAATTACGTTCTCAGTAAAGACTGCTTCTTTGACGGTCGGTGTTGCTGTCCACTGGACTTCATGATTCTTAACATTAAGAGTGATTTGCCAAATGTTAAAAATGATCAAGTGCAGTGAATGGCGACACCGACGGTCAAGATGCAAAGACAAGTGAAAAGTGTTGTTCTGCATGATACGATTCCTAAATCAGCTCCACTGGGTATAGAAATCCCATTTTGAAAATTCTTGCTACTAGCAACACAAATGATAAGCACTACTAATAACACCATTGGTAGGAACAACAATTTTCTTATAGCAACACATTCCTGCGGAGGGAGCTAGTAGGAACGTTGGGTTGCTCGGTCAATGGCCAGGGTCAACGGCGGCGTGGTGTATTCCGCAAATATGCCTGACTGTGAGGGTGGGCACAAGCCGGCGTGAGTAGGTTAAACGTTGAGTTTTATATGGGCACCACAGGGTGACAAGCCCCTCCCCACCCAGCCCCAACCCCCACCCAGCCCCACCCCCCACCCAGCCCCACCTTCCCCACCCAGCCCCTCCCCACCCTCCCCACCCAGCCCCTCCCCACCCTCCCTGCACGACGGACACAATAATCCCCTGTGGGCTGGTGTAACCAGGAGATTCCTACCAGTATAAATTATATTTATATGACAGATGTGATCTTTGAACCACAACGAAAACGAGGCTGGTGGGGGGGGGGGTGGGGAGTACATCCAAACTGACCTTTCTGAACTTTGTCGCACAAAAGGAAAACCTCATCCCCACCACGTGCACTGCCAGCATTCAAGTTGACACGGCAGATTTTCAACTCCGAAACGTTCGGTGCCTCTGCAGGAAAAAAAAGTTAGGAAAAATAATGCCGAGTTAATGGAGTCTGTAACACGTAAAAAAAAGCGCACGTCTTTTATCACTAGGAAAGCAGGTGACTGGTCAGTATCGGGGGCAAAAAGCTTATTAATGTTTGGGTAACCATTGATAAAATATGGCCGGTTGTCTTTTAGGCAAGTTATTTTTCATAACACAACGTTAAATTAAAGTTTTACCCATATTGGATCTCTGCAGGCATTTTCATGTCCTCACGTTACACTGAGCTAATGCATTAAAAGCAGTGGTTTGATATGGGGGGCCCTGCAAAATCAAGACCCACCGGTCCCAATGCCTCTCCCCATGTTACGCAGGCCACAATACATCGAGGCATTTTTTTCACGTTGTGAACGAGTGCCTTTTGTCGCCGAGAAACGTGGTGCCGACGTTCCCCAGAAACACATTTTTAAATTTCTCCTGCACGGTAGTATCCACACCTATTATAGGCGGGATGCAACCCACGCGCTGAGTGCGAACCGCTGTGTTGACGCCTTCAATCTGAGGTGCGGAAAGAGCTAAAGAGAGGCGGCTTACTCTTGTCTCTGATCTCCTGGGAGACGATGGGTGGCAGGGCAATGACGCGACCACGCTCGTGGATGAATGCCTCGAAGCAGAGCCGCACCACGTTCATGTCGATCTCCTCTGTAGCCAGGGCCTGCTCCTCTGGCACTGCGGCCAGCAGACAAGGTACGCATGTATGTATGTAGAACTTCTTTCGCACCGTACGTCGCCAACCGTGCCAACTCGGGAGGCGCGGCTTGTGAGGACAACAAACTAAACATGAAAAGCAGTTTTAAAGAAATGAGTGTTCAATCTAGATTGAAAAGTGCACAGCAAAAGAGGATTCCTAATATCGGTAGAAAGAGCGTTCCAGACGGCCACGATAGCGCATCTGAAAGCACACGATGCAGTGACCAGTCTTTGTTCGAAGGCAAGCCAAAAGCCGCTGCTGTGAGAATAACCAGAGTTCGCGTGATGGTTTATGCTCCTTGACGAGATAAGCAAGGTATGTTGGTTCCTTATGGCAAGCACTTTGTGTGGAATGAGTGCGACCTTAAGCAATAGTTTGGCAACCAGAAGCCAATGCAGCTTGGCGAGCACTGGACTGCTATGTACAAAGTGCGGAGGCAATGACCCATCACACACGTGCTCGCACCCATCTGCTTTGTTTGTTGTTGTTGTAATGTTGTAGTTGTAAAGAATAATAGATCGCTGGAAAGTGGGTGTACAGGATGATGCGTTACCTTTGTAAGGGTTCACGTTCTTCTGGATCCTTAGCTTCAGGGCATCTGCAACCTCTTTCTTCTTCACGCACTGAATGCCCAGATTTTGGAACCTAGAACAGAGTTATTGGGAACACCGTTTAGAAAACTAGGCAACAGGACATTATTATTGATATGAAAACTATGCACACAGAGCGTTGTTTTGAAAACAAATTGTATCCCACACCTCCGATTAGCACGGTTGGCTACGTACGGTGTGAAAGAAGTTACAAATACATACCTAAACATTTATATAAAATTCAAAGTGTCTAATTGCTTTAACGAGCCATCACACTGAGGCAGTGGTATAAATTCGATGTTCTTTTCAGGAGGGTTCTGCAAAGCTTTCACGGACGGTGGGACGGTGATTGCCATGTTACATTCCAATTGATTAGTTTGTGGGCCATAATTGAAACTTGCCAAATTTGGACCGTGATGCCAGCGCAAACTGGCCTGCTCTGTCCACTGCGAATCATGTGGCGTGTATTTTGAAAGTTAATACACCTGCAAGCAATAACCAGGGTGGCCGCTGGAATCGAGTTGTGAACCTCCACACTCGCGGCGAATGGAGCGCGCTTACGGCTAGGCCGCGTCACCTCCAAAACTCTGGGCGGTGTAAACTTTCCACGAAGCGGTACTCGTGTTATTGATTCTGGAGGGATGATAAGCAGATTCAACTCCTTACTAGGAAGTATGCTGATATATTTATTTATTGTTTTCCTGGCAAAGGCCCTCTTGAGTCTCAAGACCATGCCAATTTTAGTTTTTTACGTGGTTTATCCTATTGTGCCGTGCCATTTTGTGTCTGGTGTGTAATGTGATGTGCGTAACCCGTTGTATGCAATGTGATATTTTGAGTGCCGTGTGTGGTGTGTACTGCGAGTGTGGCGCATTGTATTGTGTGGCATTTCATGTGTCAAGTGCTGTGTGTGGTGTATTGTGTGCAGCACGTCATATGACGTGTGCTGGGTGCAGTGGTAAGTGTACAGTGTTTTGTGTGGCGAGTTAAGTTAACATGCTGTGTGTAGCATCGTCTGTGTTGTGCACTGTGTTTTGTGTGCTGCATTGTGCAGTGTGCGATCTATTGAGGGTAGTGTGTTGTATCCAGTACAGTGTGTGGCACGATGTGTGCCCAATACAGTGTGTCTCCGTGACGAGTGCCTAGTGCCGCGTTTGGCATGTGGCGTGTTTGTACAGTGTGGCGTTTTTGTGTATCGGGCCCAGCGTGTGGTATGCACTGTTCTGCACGTTTTGAGTGCAGTGCACCAGTACTGACTGCACGATGGTGACCCCCGAGGAGACGTCCACCTCGCACACACCATCCGAGCAGTCCTTCCCTACCAGGCTGTGCGGGTGAGGCCGGTGCGGGTCATTCTTGCTCACGAGCGACACGCGCACCTTGGCCGGCCCAGTGCAGTTCACCAGCTGCGGCGATAAGTCGTTCGGTCAACTCAAAACTCAATAACTTAGCCTCGTGGACAAACACAAATCTCAAACTCAACACGCACATGGCAGATCGTGAGGCTGTCAACGTTAGGAATGTAACGAATCGCCCCCCCCCCGTATCAAGATCCACATTCAAGTCACCTTCGCTTTCTAGTTTCCGCTACGCACTCAAAACTCACCTATTTTCCCTAACTCACCCCATGACCCCTTAATCTCCCCCTCATAACCGCCACCACCGTTACTTTTCCCTCTTCATAATTTCATTATACGGCTATCGCTCATTCCTCATTCATTCAATCCATTCGTCATCACTTACTGCCATCAATTTCGCTTTCGTCGAATTCACGCATCACAGATTTCCCCCATTGCTTCCCCTCATCTATTTCATTCACCTCATCTCCACCATTACATTCATCTGTACGATTGTTAGTTTTGTGTAAAGCGCCTTGGATAAGGCGCTATATAAATTATTTCAAGATAATGGAAGTTTACATGCCGGGCACTGTGCTAACACTTCACCTTGAAGTGCAAAATCATGACGGCGTACTGCTGTGATGTAGCGCCACCTGAGAGTTCGTCATCAACACAGCACGTTTCCGTGGTCGGACGTCATCTGATAGCGTGTCTTCATTACAGCGCATTCGTAGAGCAAGGCATGAAATCATGACAGTGCTGTTTGTTTGTGGCAAGGCCCTCCGCTCACTTGACAGCGCGTCGTCGCGAGAACGCGTGTTGGCGTGATGGGGAATTATCTGGCGGTGTCAAAACGGCACATTGGCCCGGCGGTAGGGCTTCATTTAGGAGGGTGTTCTTGTGGTAGGGTGCCACCTAAGAGGGTATCATCATCTTCATGTCATGGTTGCATTTTATTTTGCGCACGGTTGCAATTTACTTTGCTCAGTCGGTGCTAGCCGCTGAGGGCCCGACAGGGTTTCTGTTTACATTCCTGTTGCTGTATGCTCCCCGTACCCTTCCCGTACCCTTCCCATTCCGTCGTAATGTGCAGTGACGCTTATTTTACCAAGGGCGATATTGGCACATAAAATAAAAATTGATTGATGAAAGAAAATAAGAATAGGCTTTAACCATTCTGGCAATAAATCAGGTATTAAGATGTTCAAACACCAAATTGATACCTATTGCAAGACATCAAGTCTGCATTAACCACGCATACGTGTGCCAAAACATGCCAGCAAAAATGCTCTGATAATATTGTGATCCTGGCAAATCAGGTCCCACATATGACTGATACCTGCACATACCTGTGTTATGCCATCATCCGACAGTTCATCGTCAAGACAATATGTTGTATGTATGTTGACGTCTGATGGTTCGTTGGGTGCCTCACCGTTTGAGGGTTCATCAGGTCTCACCTTAATGGTTCTCACCTTAATGGTTTGTCAGGTGTCTCACCATCTGATGGTTCGTAGTGTGTCTCACCTTGACGGCCGGGTATGTCTTGTTGCTGTCCGTGCTTCGATCTCCCAGGATGCTGCCTGCACAGCGGCCTTCGCACTCGTAGCGGAAGCGCATGCCGCGCGACTTGGGCTGCTCGTACACCTCCAGCTGTGGCGGCTTCATAGCCAGCATGTTCTCCAGGGCGCCTGTGCGCACAGCCCAGACAAAGAGAGCAGAGTCGAACAGGCACGTTTGGGGAAGAATGACAGGGTCGTCTTGCGTTTGAAGAAGATGGAACGTCCAGAGGATAAGTGACTTTGGGTCCAAATATCTCGGTCCACATTAGCCAAATTCGAAAAATGTTATTAACTTGTCTGAATTAAGATGCACTTGTTATAACTTAGCAAAATTATTAAACTTCAGTGCAATGAGGAATTAAAAAATTGGTAATGGATATATAAATATATAGCCACTGTAAAAAGAGTTCACCGATTGGTTGACTTGATAGTATTTGTGTGAGCGTGGCAAATTTTGATAGCTACTCATGGACTGCATTTTGGCTGCTTTCGTTGAAAAAATGAAGGAATCATTAAAATAACTCCACAGATTATGAAGTGAAAATTTCCACACGCTACCATTTACTAGTCTAAGACCATAACTAAAATAAAACAAGCCGACTACATTGACACTAATGTAGGCATAGAGGAAGGAAGGAGAGTGGTGTTAGCGAGGAGATTAACAGGAAGGAGGCAGGAACCAGTAAATTAATTCCAGACATTCATTACAGCAATCCTAAGCCTCGTACATGCTGCATGGAAGTAAATTAATCTGGTCAGGTGGCAAAGTGGTTTAAAGCACAGCTTGCAATCGGAAAAGCTCAACAGTTCAAATCGGGAGTTGACTCAACCCATCGAAGCTCATGGATTGAAAAGCAATTCTGGGCAATCAACAATCATTGCGATAAGGATATAACTCACCCCCCCGCCCCCCCGTTTTAGAAATGTGTAATTTCCACCACTGCCCCAAGCTAGGTTTAGTGGGAAACCGATTGCACTTTGACATTTTTTTTTCACATTCAATACAATTAGCTTAAAAGATCGATGGCAAAAGAAGACTGCTCGCGACATCTACAAGTATTTATCACCTCAGCCTACTCCATGGTGAGATGCAATGCCCTCGGGTGTTCATTCGTTACCACTCTGTAAATTGATGAAGCTAATTACCGAAGGTGTGACCCCCACAGGAAATATTTAACATACTCAAGGTAAGAACAACACGTGGAACAATTCAGCACTGCCATATGTTGTGTCTAAATGCCATCGGTAAACCAAACGGCACGAGCGAGTGTTGAGGAACGCTTTAATAAATGTGCCGATTTTACGTTAAATGAGATGGAAAAGTCATTGACGTTAAATTTCACCTCCAATCTCTGCATGGGAGTGCTGCGACAACAACTTTGTCTCAGTGAATGAGAAAACTAGTGCGGTGTTATGAATCGATGCAATGTAAAACAACACAAACCCTACCAGGATCAATGCTCGGAAAAAGCCCTGCAAGAGCAAAAATTGCACAACATTAGCAATGAAAACACGTTCACTTTTAAGTAAATAAGCTTTATTTATCCAGGCTACAGCAATTTACAATCATTACCACTTTTGTCGAAATAGATCTAAAAAAACACATTTACATAATGTGCCCTTGCCTTAGGAATGTGGAAATTTCATTCTTAGGCTCAGAACTGCCAACAGATATGAGCACTGCCAAGCGGTCATTTAAAGAGGGAGACAAATTCAACTTTTGATTAAAACCCTTTCACGTTGCAGTTTTTCTTCCGATTCCATTCCAATGACATACATGTACATCATCGAAACGAAACCGGAAGAAAAACTAAAATAAAATAACTTTATTGGTACCGAGCCTCCCACAAGGCAATGCGGGAGAGGGCATGTGGCACAGTTTGACGCCAGATATCATAGAGTGCTATGCCTCCAAGTAAAATCAACGAGGAGCCGCTTGCGCGTTCAGAGATTCAGAGGGGAACGGGACCCCTCACACTGCAACTTGCAGACACGTCTCGGAACAGGAAAGGGTTAATGTACACGTACTTTACAGCGTAGCACAGTGGTAACACTTGTGCCTCACAGCCAGAAGGTCACGGGTGAGGTTCGTGACTGAGGTGCCTTTCTGAGTGGAGTTTGTATGTTCTCCCCCTGTTCTGGGTTCTCCGGTTTTCATCCATAGCTAACAATAATTATTTAGAATGTAATTGGCATTGGGTCACACATCCCAGTGCTGAAAAATACCTGCATACGACTCAATTGGAGTTAAGCATAGCAACAGTGCCCCTGACTGTGAACTTGGCAGGACCCTCATTAAAGGCTGTATAGAGACTCAGAGGCTTTTCCCAGATAAACAAGCAAAACGATAAGTAATTTTCGACAGTGCGATGTAATGCTATGCCAAATACACAATAATTATCCCCGAAGTCACCCAGCCACATATTTTGACAGGAAACTTCGTGGTTCTGTAGATTAGGGGATGTGCCAAATATATCTGATAAACATTTTTTTATAAATACGTGGTTAACCCGGAACATAAGCAAATACTAAATAACGATTCAGAATTCGTTACTGGATTACAGCGTAGATACTATGTCAATTCGAGCGACGCCCACATGATGTAATCCAAAAAACAAATTAATAATATTGGTTGTGTGAAAGCACCAATGTTAAAAAGTAAACTGAAACAAACAAAAAGTCAGTTACTGTCGCGAAATGTGCAATGCGTGGGAGAACCGATTTCATACTTGGACATATAAAAAAGAACAAGTGAATTATGTCAAGGTCAATGGAACGGCTAGATGCAATGTGCACATATTATGATCAGTTATTCTATTTGTTTCTAAGAACTTTTAAAATATTTGTTTCACTCTTTACAGCCTGTTGTCAATACCAAGTTACATAATGCACCCCCCCCCCCCCACTACTATCTGACTTGCTTGTCAAGTACAACACTTTTGCAAGGCAACACATTGCATCTCTTTTTGACTTAAAGCTTTCGTGACTGCAGGAATTCATATTCTTTGGATCTTTCGGAAACGTCGTAGTTTTTTGTTATTTTCTTTGAACCTATCTACTTTGCACAAGCTATAAAACGCCGGAAGCACGGTATACTGTAGCCACATCAGCACGCGAGTTAACAATTATCTTAAACCTAAGTGAGGGCTTCAAATTATTATTTAACAAAGGTAGCAGACCTGCAGAAGTGTTTATATAGTTACGAAGATTTTTTGGTTTTAGCTGTAAGTCACTGTAAAACGTTAGAAAGTAGGCTATTGCATCAATAAACAAGGAGCTCTGAGTCGCTATTATGCAATATATGTTGTTACGTAGGCACGACTCAGCAGTGGCTGTTGTCCGAGTCATCTGGCCACCTTCAGTGACTACTTTGAAATCCATCCTTACAACAATTAGCGTCAAATGGCAATGCCACTTCAGAAAATTCCGCAACTTGAATTTCAAGAATGGATTATTTTCATCTCTGTTTTTACCATCATCATTTGTAGTTTTTATGGTTTTTTTCCTCCCTCTCGTTTGTAGTTTTATTCGCTCCATAAGTCTAAATGTTCCATTAGTATATCACTGAACATTGGTATTAGAATATTAACATATCATTTGTCCAAATGTTCCCTTGTGATTCAATGCATTGTCACAACTTAGAATAGCGATTAGATTCGGTAATCATATTTATAACATTGTTGTGAATATAACATTCTGCAGTGGCTGGAGGGGTCATCTGAATCCATTACATACAACATATATACAAAGTAAAAAAAGATGATTTCTTACACTTGACTCCATGCATTATCGTGAGCTTGAGAATCGTATTAAAATATCTTAATCGTAACACCCCTACAGGTTAAGTGCTGAGCGCACTGAACACTAGTCAAACACTCACTCACAAATGCTATACACGACCACGGCTAAAATCACACACCTAAACTCACAGCTCGGCTGATTCGTGCACAAAAAACAAAAAGGCACCCACAAGCAGATGACAACACTGATACGCAAACACCCACGCAATAAACCCCATGCACAATTCATGTACAGTAGATACCACAGTATAGATGACAAATTATCCAGAATACAACATATCTCATTAGATCTCAGAAGCTAAGCAGGATGGAGCTTGAATTGTTTAAATAGGTGACCAACCATGTATAGCAAATGTTAAGCGGACATGGGGCTGTCGTTAAAATCAGACAGCAGTCAAGCAAAATCCATCGTTGTACTCTATTTATATGTTCCCAAATCTATGCTCCAAGCCTTCACCAAGCCCTCATGACGAGCATGAAGTACGGACAGATAACCATCATAACCCGCAAGGAACGGGGAAGGCCCTCATCCAGTGGTGGATGGCCAAAGGCTGAATACTGGGTGGCACTGATTACAGCGCTCAACTAACAATCTGAACAAAGTTTTTTTATTGTTAGATCACCTAAGTATAAATGCGTGGCTAAACCGCCACCACCCGCACAGACAATTAGTAAGGTTCCTCATGTAAACAAAACGTGGAAATTAGTTACTTCTTCAGCACACCGGTGTGTTGGGAGAGTAAATCCACAACATTCAATTTTAGTACGACGTTTTGCTGGTAACTACATCCAGCATCATCGGGCGATTTTGCCAGAATTCTCGAACACACCTGTGCGCTGAAGTAGTAACTAGTTGGCACGTTTCGTTTACATGACAAACCTTATTAATTGGCTATGCCGGGTGGTGGCGGCTTTAACGACACATTTATACTTACACAATCTAAACCAAAAAAACCTTGATTATAAATAATAAGCCTACGTGTCAAACTAACAATTTGAAGGCTGCAATTGCTAAAATCACTACGACTGTGTGGGATAGTGCACATAAGCTGTCTTTCTATGGAGACAGCTCATGTGCACTATCACAGCGGTCTTGTCTGAAAAAAAACTGAGACCCACGCTGAACTTCAGCTTCTGGCCTTTGAATCCATGTCCATGCAGAGGATGCCATATGTGTTATTGCAGCACAGGGAAGCAATTTGTAAGTTTGGAATAGAATGCGGCAAAAACACAGTGCTGTAGATGTAATCTGGAAGAAGAGGCTGTGACAGACGGGGCACGTGTGCAGGATGGAGGAGTCTGTGGGTTACCAATACAGGCAGACAAAGTGGCACCCAGTGGTCGGTGAATCCAACTTAAGATAGTAGGATACTGGTACGAATTGGTGGTCAAGTAATTTGGCAAAAGCAGGGTGTGATGGCATCACTTGATCTAGATTACTTAAACGCGACACACACCAGCAAGGATACAGGCACAACATTTGCTAGGCTTCTGTTAAATGTACAGCCAAACCGGCTAAGATATTTGACAACAAAAAAATGGAATCTTGCAGAACTGGTTTTTTTTGCAAGCACGCAAATGCTGTGCATGGATACACTAAAAAGCTTGCATGCACACATATTGCTGGAAACATTTATAGATAACTTTAAAAACATAATATACCGTGTAATTACAGCACACACCAATAGGTTTACGGAGGGCGGGGGAAAGGGCTAAAGTCCCAGGTATATATTCTACGTAGTGTAGGTACCCTTATTCAATAACGACAAAGAATAGCCCCTGTTGTGGGGTCTTCTTTGCTGTGCAAGGCACACAGAAAATTTCCCCTTTTGCCCCCCCCCTTTCCCCTGGGAGGCCCTGACTATACACAGTACCTGAATATACAACTTAATTTTTATGCAAAATCATGCCTTTTTCTTGCTTTTATCATTCCATGAAAATCATGCCATCAGTCATGTAAAAAAAATTCTATTTGGAACTCTCGATTTAAAGCTTTCGTGACTGCAGGGATTCATCTTCTTGGTTCTTTCGGTAAAGTCACGTAGAAGGGAAATAATAAAATAATAAAAATAAAACATAATAAACTAATTATATACCGAAAGAACCAAGAAGATTTGGAACTCTCTTAAGTGTGCCATCGACCACCTAGTCTGAAAAAGTGCCATATGAGATCACAGAACCACTTAAAAATTCCCTTTAAATGTCTCATTATTCATACTAGGATCACGCTTTCATGAGGCCTGCAAATACATTGTGGCATGCCAATAAACTAAGTGAAAAGAAACTCAATGTAAAGTTTGTCGATGAAGTCATTGGTGACAGGGCTGAGACCACCAGCTCCATTCCCTTGAGAACCCGTGTAATCATGCATGGCTTTTCAGATAATTTCCAGGATCTTTGTGATGTCGGCAAAAATTCCATTATTTGTCCATCATGCTAATGATTATCGTTGTGGTTCCACAAACTAATATGGGAAGAAAATGCATAGAATTTGCATAACTAAAAACTTTTCTACATACAACGATGAAAACGTGTTTTAAACACGTAATTTTATGGAATTTGTACTGCTAGTACTGTGGAATGACCACTATTATTCGCATATTATGCTGACAAACCTTGTTCAAAATTTTAAACCTTGTAAAACTGAAAAATATGGAATACAATAATAAACCA